GATCTGAGGGAACGTTTGTTCACCAGAGCGCCCCAAGGGATGGCAAGGTCTAAAGGTTATGAACTCCTGCAAGACCATTCAGGCTGGACATAAGAAAGAATTTCTTTACTGTCTGAGCTCCCAAGGTCTGGAATAGCCTGCCTTCGGAGGTGATTCAAGCACCTACTTTTAATGCCTTCAAGAGAAAATTGGATGTTTATCTTGCTGGGATCCTATGACCTCAGATGACTTCCTGCCCTTTGGGCAGGGGGCTGGACTCAATGATCTTCTGAGGTCCCTTCCAGCCCTAATGTCTATGAAATCTAGTTGGTTTCAGATGCTCTGCTAGTGCACCTTGTTCACGTGCTTAGGGCATACTAATCATTGATAGGGGTGTGTTTACTTTACTTTGACCTAAGTTAGCTTGATAGGGATGTGTTCACTTCACTCTGCACTTTGAGGCATAGATGACCTTCAAGAACTGCCTGGGCCTGCTTTACTTAATCAATCCCCTTCCATTGTTGTGGCCTTGGGCAGTGGTGGTACATTGTTCTATCTTACTTTTTGTCTGTGACGCACACAATAGTTTCTCTTGAGGTCTGAAATGAGTTAGACTAATCCAAAGTTATTGTACTTAGTATGAAGGCAATTATATGAAATATAATGTGATATAGGAAATCAGATCCAATGGGTTTGGGTTTTTTTTTTTTGTCTTTTCTGGCCTTAAGCTCCACGATTCTCTGAAAATAATTTGTATATGGTTTAGAGTAAAATGTCAAAACTAAACTTTTAATTTAGTTCAAAATACCATGCTTGTTTCTTAAACCCAAATGATAACCTTGACCCTTGATGAATAGTGAGACTTATGTTGTTTGCTTTTTTAAGGCATCTTTCATACAGAAAAAATTCCAAAGCATTTCAGACAGAGTCCCTGTCTCTCTTTGTCTCTCTGTATATGAGGATCACTCACCCAGTTTGGAAATGAAGCTCCCGATGAGCAGCAACATACTACCATTCTATAAATCCTGTCTACCTGCTTTTAGTTTTAGAAGAGCGCTGTGTTATGTACTGGTTTTCTTAACACTTTATTTGTGTCTGTTAAATGGATAGGTTCATTGTGGGTTTAATCCCAGAACTGATTAATGTGTGTTGACAGATCATTCTGTCAGGTCTTTCTTTGAGTATGTTAGCACAATACTGTATTGCGCATGGGCAGAGTTAAGGTTGAATAGCAATTCATTTAGAAATCCCTACATTTATGAGTTTGTGACTTACAACTTATCCTGAATTTTTAGAACCATCTAGCTCAGTGGTTCTCAACCCGTGGCCCGCGGGCTGCATGCAGCCCAATCAGTACATCGCTGCAGCCCATGTGACATCTGGTTAAACAAAAAGTAAAGACATTTGACAGTGTGGAAATGAGAGAGATTACAGTATATTGATTTGTATTGCATTACTGTTAGATAACGCACACAAAGCATGTTTTACATGGATACACAGGAAGTAAGTTGTGTGGGTGCAGCCCACATAACACGTTGACAGCTGTAAGTGTGGCCCACTATGGCAAATAGGTTGAGCACCACTGATTCTAACTAGAAGCAGCTGTTTATTTAAAATATTATTATTCATACTTGTATAAAACATTACATAATATTTAATTTTAATTCTCGCTCTTTTGTTGTACTTTATGCTGTTTAATAAGTATAATTAAGAGCCATCTTCTGAAACTCCAAATAAATAGGTTTTCTTAGAGGTCCATTGATTTTTTTCACCTGCTTCTTCCCCTTTACCTCCCCTTAAGATCCCACTCATAACACATCCCTCCTTCCTGGCTGGGCTGTTCTCTTCTTTCTCCTTCTGTGAAATAACAAGATGAGACACTGTAGAGCAATAGGGAAATTAATACTTACTTAAAGATCCAAAAAAACACAGCTATTATGCATTGGTTTATAAAATATTTTTTTACAAAGATTGTAATTATGTTTTAGAGCCTAGGGTTTAAACATACACAACTGCATTCTATTCCAGTATCTTTTTTTTGTTATTATTACGTATGGTATTAAAAATGCTTCAAAAACAATGAATTAATGATACAGTTTGCAAATTTTGTCAGCCTTTGTGCCCCTCAGTAAGTGGCATGCAGGCTAGGGACAGAAATTATACATAAACTACTATAAGTGATCAGAAAATGGTTCAAACCTGTAATGCAACAGAAGTTCAGGGTGTTTGTATACATACATTTGTCTGTTCTGATGCGCTGGAGAGTCAGTGCATCAGAGCAGACTCCATTAATCAAGTCTATTCTGCATGCAAGCTGGTGTGCCCGGCACTGCATTGCATGTATATGTATAAACGGCAAAATGTGCATCAGTACTGAGAAAATGGTAGCAGTGTGCTTTTGAACTAAAACACCTTTGATGTGTTTTAATTCAAAAGCACACCACTGCCATTTTCTCAACTGACGTGCATTTCGCCATTTATACAAACGCATGGGCCTTCATCACACAGTGCTGCAGTGCAAGCACGTGTGCAAATGCCCCCAGTGCCCATAAATCACTTTCAAAATGGCCCAAACCGGTTTAAGATAAATCTAGATGGATGTAGTATCAGACTTAACTGATTAAATTGGTTTATTGAACAGTTGTCCTCCCCAGATCTCCTCCAGATTCAAGTTAACTAACAGTCCCCCAGCAGCATCCCAGGATGCTTTGCACTTCCCCTTCAAACCCCTCCTCGCAGGGTGGGCTAGCTCTTGGCCCAAGCTGCTGCTCCAGCCAAGCAGGGAAGTATGCTGTAGTGTCTCTGGCTTCTGTCCTGGGTCACTGCAGGTGTGTGGCTGCATTTCTGGAATCAAAAGTGAATGTCTGTTCATTTGCTTATTGGTTCAATCTACACAGCTTAGCCTAACCCATGAAGACTGAACTGATTCAGCCTCAGGCTTTTTGACTGTCTGTACTTAGCCACAGAGCCTTGGACCTTAAACTTCCCTTTCATTTGTGAAATGGACTATTAAACAGGACAGAACAGATTGTTCCCAAGAAAGGCATCAAAGTTCTAACTTGTCAGTAACTGGAGACAAAAGATCCTTGGTTTTTTTTTTAAATGTTATCTCATGTGAAATTGGAGAATCAGTGTTCACAAGAGACTGTCTCTGCACAAAGTGCCTAGTCCTATCATGTTCTTTCACTATTAATGCCTGGAGTTGGATCAGGGCCACTAGTTTACAATAGTGTTTATAACAGCTCGCTTATAAGGGAGATCCATCGCTCATAGAAATTTCTGATCACCCAGTCTGCTCTCTATCAAGCCTAGAAGTAGACTGGGTACCCTTTGGAACTCCTCATTGTCATACCATAGTGACATGAAATGCCCTTCTTCCCTAGGAACAGAGCACTCTGGAAAGCTTTGTCATAATTTGAGAAGGGAACGCTATCAAAAGTATCGTATGAGTTAAGTTGCTGTCTGCAGAGATTATTTTACCCTCTTTGGGCCCAGAGTGGCCTTTAATAAGTAGAAAACTAGATTTCTTTCTCTGGTAAATATAGAATCAGTGTATTTTACTTAAAATAGTTTTCTGATCTTTTAAATAAAATAGATTTCTTCAGGTAGAGGATGGATAGATCTTTGAAGTAAATTAAATGTAAATGTAAACCCTGGATCAGATTTTATTAATTGGGTTTTATGAACCCAATTCAATTTTATTCATTGGATTTTACCGTTCCTGACTGTATATTTAAATTAAAATCCCTTCCCGGCATTGAGTGTTTGTCATTCATGACAATTCGTTTTCCTTTTATTTTGAGTTAAAAATTATACTACCTTAAGTAACCAAGTTTATGCTTGGGCACTGTATTCTGTCCTTTCAAACTTTGAAGGAAAGTCATTTTGCTGTATATGGTCCTGTAGTAGTCATAAAGGCATTTTCAGTAACACTCCATACATGCGTAGAACTGTTTGAAGTTCAGCTGAGTTAGAATGGATGTTTCTCCAACTGTGAGGCTGGTCTCCCAGGGGAGATTCTTCTTTTTCCTGTGGGGAAGGGAGGAGATTATTGGAGAAACTGCAGGAAAAATTGGGAAGTGAGGAGGGGAGACAGGTTTTATTTGCTTAGGACAGGGATAGACTATCAGTTGATGGTTGGTTGAAAAGTACTGAATAGATGATCAATTTATGTGTTGTGTATACAGCAAAAATAGTCTATGTGAAATAAAATCTTAACGAGCTGCCTTGTATGGAGTATTAAATGTGCTGTTTTCTCCTAATATATATAGAAAAAACCTTTGGCTATTATGATCACCAGTGGACACACAAGTGGAAGTGCACCATACAGAAGTAATGTCCCTACACGTAAAAAAAAATTCTATATATCTATATATCTATATCGATATCTCGATATTGATATCGATCATGTTGTAGGGATATATATATTTCATGTAGGGACTTTACTTCTGTATGCTGCACTTCATGTTAGAAAATATTAGAATAGTGTCTCTTTAGTTTATGAATGTAATGGAACTTTTTATGCAATTTATTGAAATCTTCAAATGTAGCAAACTAAAGTTTGCCATTTTAAAATAAGGACTTAGTAGCTAAATAAGGAACTTTTTCAGAGACGTTCAGAGATGCCCAGACATGCATTCGTGTACCTGGTTTTTAGGCACCCATGTTTGAAAACTTTTGGCTGAAGTACTTGTCAGTCCTAGGACACATGGAAGAGTTGATAATAGAAATCAAAACCTTCTGACTCCAGAGCTTTGCCTTTGATTATTCACTATTAGTTCACCCATCCTCCAGTGAGGTGATAAGATGTTATATTCAGATATGTCTATTCTGGGCTTCTCTCCCCTCACAGGCCTTGATTCTGCTTTTTAACATTCTGGTATGCACTCTGACTGTCCACATAAAATAAGCTATAGCCCTTGTAGCTCTATAATAAATGATAATAAAGATTTTTGTTGATGTGATCCTTGTTTTAGAAGTCCAGTCCTGAATATAAACTCAATGTCCACTTGTGATCATAATAGCCAAAGGTTATATTTTTCTTATGAATTGAGACCAGTGGAATTGTACATCACTTTTGACTTGTGATTTATTTTTCCCCTGGTATCTGTAATCTCAACAATTTTACAAAATATGCTTTAGAATGAGCCTAATACAATATCCATTTCAACTTGTAGCTGAGACTTTGCATGCATACAGTTGAAGTCCTTTTCAATGTTCTACATGCATCCATCTTTGATAAGTAGTTACAAGTCTGATATCAAGCAGTAGATGTTTGTCTAGTAGACAGATCATCACAAGTAAATTTATAGGTCCATCTGCATGGTGAAACAACTTGTGTCATTACATTTAATTGCATCTTACCTGGATTCTGTTGGGTATACTTAAAAGTTCCCTTATAAATTGCAATGCCATTAAGTCACAAACTACAGGCTAGTTAGTCTTACCTCAATTCTGGGCAAGCTTTTTGAGAAAA